GTATATTGAAAGCTCAAATCTAACAAAGCAGTTTCAAACCCCAAAGTGAGTAGTATCCAGTGGCGGATCTAGGGCAGGGGCAGATCTAGGGAAGGGGCCCCCTTATTATGGGTAAAAAAGGAAGAAATCACAGAACAAAGAAAAGCCAGCAGGGCAATCAAAACAAAACCGCCGCCCCTCCCCCCCATAGCTCAAGGTCTGGATCCGCCACTGCAATCCTTTACATCCTAACGAACTGATACCATTTCCACTTGTGAATAATGAAAACGAGGCCAAGTACTTCAATTGCTTGTAGTCACTGTCACATTTTGTTTGATTGTCTTTCAGGATTTGTCGGGTATTACTAGAAGAAAGAAGAAAAAGGTGGAACGTTACCGGCTAATGCGTTAGCTTGTTGAGAGTTTTGTTTCGCCAATATTAATGAATAAAGGGTTTTTAAATGATCAAATCCAGTGTTTTTTATTAATTGCTTTCTCTGATCAAATCTTATTTCAGGGAATAATTATTGCGAAAAACAGAATCGCCAAACGTTTAAATGCTTTGCATTACAATTAGCACAAGGTACTAATATGACACCGTTCTAGCTCTGGCCCTGTAGGAGACTGGTAATATTATTCGGGGTCAGTGTCACGATAGTGCGCATGCGCGACTTGTCACAAGAAAGTCCACTGTCCACTGTCCACTGTCACAAGAAAGTTCACTGTTACGAAAGTTTATATTACAAGAACAGGTGCCGAGTTTGTCCGGTTACTCTGAATCACTCCTACTAACTATACCCGGAGGGGTCAGTGTCCCCGTGGATCTTCTCATTGGTTGATCATTCGCTAAATTCTCTGCAACTTTTTGTAGAAATATAAGCAGGTATGTAATGAGAATCTAGGACCCGATACTCATAAACAAATGTACAAACAAATCACATCACAATGAAATGAAAACTTTATTAATAACGAAGTTAAGCTCAAAAAACTGAGATAAGCAAACGCTATCAACGTTTTGGTCCAAATGACCGCAACAGAAAATAGAAGATAGATACAGGATAGATAACAGTGTAAGTATGTCATGTTTAAAATACAAAGGGTAAATTTCCGCATGTAAACAAACAGTTAAAACGCTAAAATCTCGCCTTTGTTTGTCTTCACACAAGACTTATGGCAATGTGAAACTATTTGAAATTGATTAGTATGTACACAATTGTTTCTCTAAAAAAAGTATATATACTCTTGACACTCAGCCATTACAAGTCTATACGGTTATTGTTATAAAATAATTCGAATTTAATTAATACTAAGAACGAATCTGATACAATATGTACCTTTTCAATGCGATATCGTAACATGATCAATATAAACAGTGGTTATATATATAAAAAAATAGGACGTAAAAAATGTAAAAATGCGTAAATAGAAGTTTAAGTTTTCCAAAAGGTTACTCAGTTACTCCTTTTTCCCGTTTTCTATCATTACAATTGGCTTGAAACATCGTTTTTAGAGGAAAATCCTACATTTAGTTTTCCTAGATCAAGATCTCGAGTTGTTTCAGTAGTATTGTGATTTTGTTCGTAGTTTCTTTTTCCTTTAGCGTCGCCATTCACCTGCGTCTGCGGCAATTGTTCTTTTTCTTCTTGGATTCCCTCCATAATTTTCTGTCCGGCGTAAGTGATAAGACCAAAGAAGACAAACCCGAACGCCATGATGCCCACGGATGCTCCAATCAATGCTTTGGTTAGCGGTACAATCGCGTACGCACTGATGAGGGCCACAGTATCCAAGACGTAAATGAGGCCAGCCAGAATTTGTCGATGGAAGTGACTTCCGATCACAGAGCCGAGAGGAGCGCCTAACACAACAATCGGGACACAAACTGCAAGGTAGTAGTATGCATCAGCACTGATTGCCTGTTGCATGACTTGACGCCAGTAAAAACCGACAACGGTGTTTCCCGCCATAAGAACAACGGAAGTCGGTGTGGCCGTTTTCTCGCTGACCCGGAAGAGAAGAGTGAGGATACTGAAGCTGCAGATGTCCACGCCACTTCCGGCGATAGCAGAGAAGATTCCGCCTATGAACCCGGTCAGTAAAAGGACGATCATCTTCCAGAGCTTGAAGTCTGGGATGACTTTGAATGTCTTACGCTTGTGGTAAAGGTTTAGCAGGAAAAGGGCAAAGGCGAAGGAAAACCACACGCATACAAATCCAATTTTCTTCTGGGGTGGTGTGAGGTTAGGATCAATAAACTCTAGACCAAGGGCCATACCGACGATTGCTCCAATCGAACAGAATATTATGGAATGCCATTCAAGCTGCACGCGCATCCAGAAGATGGTGAAAGCCGCTGCTGTCATACCGCAGGACTGAATCATCAGTGAGAAGTCACGTGCTATTGCTGGTGCTATGCCGAAAGCGAGGGTCATGACGGGAAATGCAACAGCACCTCCACCTTCACTGGTCATTCCTGTTACAAAAAAAAATTAAACAAATAAATAATTTAGGTAACTTCAGGCTTCGATTTTGCAGGCAGGATAACGTTATTTCCTGAATTGATAACTATTCAGTGTTTAATGTGGTTTGTCTATTAACTAGGTGGTGATTTGTCTCGTCGATAGCGTTATCTACCTTACCCTTGAAATAACTGCGCTCATATTTGGCGTGACTTCCTAAGTTCATTTCACTACGCTCTGATTATGTTTGACAAGTTCGCCCCCTCCCTTCTGCCTCTGAATTAATCACTGAAATCGGGAGAAGTTCTGTTATTAAGTTACTTGTACTGCACTAACTCAACTGATTGCTATATAACAGCAATTTTTTTTTTACCTGCAATCATCGAGCCAAAAATCATTGTTATGGAGATGAAATATCTGTCTGGAAACAAGCTCCAGAAGCTGTACTCGATAGCACAGCTCCACCAAAGCACTTGGTAGAAGATAAAAGGAATGGCCACGCCTACTAAACGGCGGTGTTTTACAATGAACCTCTCGTGCCATGGAGCATTCGGGTCCAGCTTCTCAAGAGCCTGGGTCTGAGTGGCATTTAAAGCCTGACCTGAAAAGCAAACAAACATGATGATAATCTGCTTCACTGTAATTATGATAATTTATAATTTATCAGCACGATAATTTATTCAATATGTTATCATGTTTCATATCTTGAAGTGCATTATTGAAATATGTAAAGTAATGGACACTCTGATTGTGTCATCGTTTTCATTATTTCATTGGCTGAAGAGTAACCTTTTCTGTGTTAAGTCTCACAAAAAAAAAAAAAAAATTACACCGCATCGGGCCAATCACAACTTTCGTAAATAAATAATAAACGCTGTGAACCAGTCATAATTCAGAGTCGATCAAAAAGCCGAGAACGTAACTATGCCGAAGCAAACGCGCTGGCCTGGTCCTCATTGGTTAAAAAACAATTGGTCCATTCCGATTGGCTGGAACAATTCCGACACGAACTTACACTTAAATATTTACAAAGGAAACTAAAGAGAAACACAAACTAATTATCCTTCAAAGCCATAAGAGAAGGTTAAGCTTCTTGGAAGGATCTACTTACATTGCAGAACTTTCTCGGAGCTCATGGGATGTTTTTCCGAGCTTTTCAATGTCTCCAACCTCGGTATTCGCTTCAGTAGAAAGTATTTTATTCTCCCGCTCAACCACTAAGCGATAGAGTTCCTTAGATTTCGTCTGTCTTGTCGTAATGCTCATAATAAAGTGACATACAAACTTAATTACCTTCTAAGAAGTACTTCTTCAGCCACTCTATCGGAGTTCGTTTTGTCTTCTTCACTTTTGCATTCACGCCAGGGTTGCTCTGAAACAAGCAAACAAATGAAAAAATCAGTGAGATCAACTTCCGTTTTCTCCTTCCATTATTCATACATAGTTAAGCAGCCGGGTGATGAGAATAGAGAAAATTATTAACTGCGAAACAATTGATTCATGCTTTAGCATATGCAGTTGAACCTCGCTATTTCGAACCCTCAAGGAGAACGAAAAATAGTTGGAGATTGAGAGGGATGGAAATAGCCGATGGTAAATAACTAAGGAGCAAATCGTAGGGAAACAGTTTTGAATTCAATATTATGGGGAATTCGAATTAACCGAGTTCGAATTAGCGGTGTCCAACTTATCATCTCTTTATGGTGCTCGCGGGAAGTTTGGAGAGAACAAAAGAAGCGTAAGACTTGTTCGAGGGAGAGTCGAGAAATCCCGCGAGCTTCTGAAAGCAGGGAATGTTTCGCCCGCTCGCTGACCCAGAAAAGAAAGCTTCCGCACGAATGAGGCTTTGGAAAAGAGACAGAGGGCTCTCTTATACGTCTATTTGAATCCACGAGGCACAGGTTTTTTTGAACAGCACAACAGTTGTTAATTTTTATCATTTTTTATTCTAATGTTTAAAGATTTTTTTTTTGAAATTTGCGCTTCTTTGTTATTATCTTTCCAGAGCATCTCTAAGCTATTTCTAGCTTTTTGTGTGCTCTTCAAACCTCATAAGTACTAGTGCAACATAAGTGATACATGCACAGCTAAAAGCAAGAATCAATTGCTTCATGGCATTGTCCGTGGCAATAGAGGGGCAAAGGGGACTACACCCGGGAGAAACAAAATTCTGTGGCAGAGTGAATCGCGCAGTTACGTAATGTTTGATAGCCCGGCTTGGCTAGCTTTGTTATCTTGGATACTGGCCTAATTTTTCACAAAATTTTCAGACTCGCCATTAAAAAATGTATAGCAGCTACTTCTAAGAATAATATTTTCAGGCTATGGACAGAAAACTTTAACTGTTCTGAATTTTTTGTTTCTTAACTAGTTTTGTGTTATCGTGTTTTCTGTTTCATGTGTTAAACCAATTTACTACAACCAGTTGGTCTGCGTTCCAAATTTACGATTAATTGAATATATTTGATTAATGGCATTCTTTATAGCCGTTGCACGCGATGACTGCCCATTACTTTGCCACGGTATTTGAAGAAAACAAAAGTGTGATATTGCATGTTCGATCCTGCATTTAGTTAATGCTGACCGCATCATCACTTGGCAAAGCATTATGAGTCAGCATTCTCCGTATGCTAAAAATACGACTTCATATATTTACGTACTGTAACCGACACAGTGAAAAACAAATGTTAAGAACATTTTGGTTGTGCGACGAAAATATTTCAGCCGTTAGAAAGTTCTCAGTGATTGCTAGTCAAACTTAAGATTAATGGTCCTCTTTATAGTCCAATGCCCGCAAAATGGTCGTTTTTACTACTTCATGAATAACTACTCAGTGGGGAACCGTTATAAGTACTTGCTAAGGGTTTCTTATCGATTTAAGAATGTAAATCTTTGATACGACTTAATGAACTTATCAGAGGCAGCTAGGCCAAAGCTAGCGAGCCATGATTTCAACTAAAATAAACACAACCGGCTGTCATGACCATAGTCACAATAAGAAACTACTAGAGCCATTTTCGCACATATGACTGAGTAGCAACCCTTATATCAAGCAGGGTGATGTGCTAATTAAACTGAATGATGCAGACGAAGCATTTCTCTCTGAGTCGGCTATTTGTTTCTGTTTGTGAAGTAGCTCAGTGTAAAGAAAACGGTTCAGTTATTTAGACTGAGGTTTTCTTGCTGTATTCTTTGATTCAAAGCACCGGTTGAAATTTGACGGAAGAATTACTAAAATGTTTAGTCACATATAATTCATGGAGGTAATAAAAAACTTTTCAGTTTTTGCTGCTTTTCTTATATTTTCCCTACACATCAGTCAATTTATGACATAGATGTTATATTCAGGAGAACTGGTCTTATCTTTACCTTTTTTGTCATAAAATACCGTTTCCCGGCTGTCCAACAGTCGAGGGCTTTTCAGTCGCATTGTACGATATTCACTAGAGCTTGTAAAAGAGCCCAATATTTTTAAATGACACTGCGGGAATAATATTAATGGCAAGAATGATAAAAGAGCAGACTTGATATTGACTTTCAACGAAAATGGGGCAATTATATAAAAATTATTTTACGATTGTGCGTCATGTCAGTTGATTACGTCAGCTGACTCAAGTACTTTTAATATTATGCAAACATCTTTCCTTTCGCAAAAAACGCGTTTTTAAAAACTGGAAGTTACTGCGGATTTTCTATTTCCTTTTATCTTCCGTTTACAGTTTATTAACATTCTTTCGCTATAAAATTCGTGTTCAAATTTTACGCCAATGGGGTATTTGAATCGAATCTATCCAGTTTCGTACAGAACTGCTATCATAGACGTATTTCAAGTAGTTAAGGCTTCAGTATTAACCGCAAGAACAATATGTGATAGCATGTTAACGGCCGGGTCTGAGTTTTATGCCAAATATAGCGAAAGTTTGTTTTTATTTTAAGATACAATGGAATCTTTCAATACCAGTTTGCGTTGCCAAGCAAACAGGTTTCTTCATGCAAAAAGACTGAAACCCCAGAAGGGTTAACATTTCAGGATTAAAAAAAGTAAAAGGCGAAAAGCAATAAGATAGTGTAAAGAAAACTAAAGTAACTTTAAAAAGTAAAGTAATTTGAATATAAATTTGGCAATTGGATTGAAATCGTAAGTTTCGTAATAGCTCGGATACTTAACGGTACGACAGCAATATTGGGGAAAAATAACATATAATGCAAAATGAATTCTTTTCGTGAACAGATATTAAGTCTAGGGTTCCGAATTAAAAGCAAGTGCCGAGAATACAGAAATACCGAGTCAAAAGAAAAAAATGTTAATGAAAAATGAAAGCATGAAGGGTTGAGAGGAGGGTTATGCTCATTCTATGGAATATTTTATAATGTCGTTTCTATCAAATCTAACAGTAAAATTCTGACAAAAATATTTGTTTTCAAGAACACTGAATAAACTGAAAATTTAGACTGAAATAATAGCTTACTTGTTGTCGAGGAGTTTCATTTTCAATGCTAAATGAATTCCAGTGTACATGGCCAAGGGTTGGTGAATGCGGTGCAGGTCTTTGGCTGTAGTTTCCTTCTCCTGGAAAATCAATAGCGACCTCTCCATTCCCAACAGTGCCGCGTCTATGTTCCATGACAGCTGTCTTCAGGCTTCAGAGTAAAAGCTATTAAAGATTCCAGGAAAGATTGAAGAACATGGAATTACATCTCAAGTCCAACACGGACAATACTGAATTGGCGAAGGCGTTTGAAACAGGAAAGGCCGCAATCGGACAGGACAAATATTATCTTTAAATAACTAACAAATAAAACCGTTTTATCTTGACAGCAAACATGTCAATTTATATAAAAGTATCACAAATGCCAATACAAATATCAAGTTGTGCTCCCGTAAATTCACTTGTTTGTCATACATACCTTAAGATCAGACCTATTAGCAACGCAGCAACTAAGGTATGAACTGTCTTGGTGATGTGTTGTATGATTTAACGTTTTTTGGCAAATAAAAGAATAAATTGTCGTGTTTCTATTTGCGGACCTATTTGACATATTAATGATCAGCAAATGACAGAATTGGGCTGTATTGACTGATGTAATCACGCATTACCATTGGTTAATCCTTTATCTACTGACATCTCAAAATTTTTTTTATTGTAATAAATCAATATTGCCTTGCGTGTACTGAGACCTTTGACCAAAATATGAACGGAGGATATTGTGTTATGTATTTTAATGATATTAAGTGAGACGCGAAATAATCAGAGTTTTACAAATCACGGACATTGCCAAATTTTGTTTTTGTTTTGTTTCGAATTTAATTTGTTGATTCACGTTCAATGTAACTGTCCTGAAAAGGCCAAACATTTTTTTTTTTGTTAAATGTATATGCCACACGGAGCAAACAATACGGTTTCAGCATTAGGGACACCCAGCCGGGGGAAGCTGGAGGTCAAACGTTTCAAAAGTTACATAACCACAAATTGCTTGGAATTACGTCTCCGTAAACAGTCAGTTATTTGCGATGACATCATACCGGGCTGTAACTGCTCCTACTTCACTTTCCTTCTATTATGGTACCAGTAATTACTTTTATTCTTGATCTTTGCCTGCGAGCAGCCGACAAACAAAATAACAGACATCTACACACAGGCAATGCTAAATTGGAAAATAAAAGTATTATTAGCATGATAATAAAGGGGAAGTCGATAAGCAGTAGTTATAGCCGGATATAACGTTATCGTGCAAATAACGTCTCGTTTGCGCGTGGAATAAAGGAGACAGTAGACGTTTCCCCGCAGGCTAAGTGAACTCTTCCCTGATCGTGAAATTGAGAATTTGCATGAGTTTTGACACGAAACACTAAAAATTGAAGATTGTGGTGGTTGCTGTCGACATCCTGTTCAAGCGATGGACTCATTTATTTCAATTCTGATTTTTTGCGTTAATGGGTGGTCTACACTAGCGCATAATTTAGCACAAGCATCGGTAACATATGCGGACGGGTTACATGCAGACACTTTATTTAAGTTCGTTACAGTATAGCACATACATGCTAATTTCTCCGAAGGCTTTCTGAACTCAGATAACTACAATAAAGTAATATGTTGATAATTCTGAAGACTATCTAACTAAGATACACAAATGCACAGGTATTTAACTAGCAAAAAATACAACAAGAGATGCTAAAAGACAGACTACTAAGTGAAGCTTGAAATTGTTAAAAAATGGAAGTGGATCTGCTCCTTTCTGGTAAATCGTTCCACTTTTTGGGCACAACGTATCTAAAAGGATGCAATTCATATGATGTGGTCTTGACCCTGGGTATGTTTCACTTATTTGTTCCACTAAGTCCTGAGTTGACTGATTTTGCATAAAGATTCCAATAACTAGCACCTCTTGTTAGAAAAATGTTCTAACAAAGGCGCTGCTTAATAGCGCGCCCATTACGGCGCCTGCGCATTATAATTTAATATATTGAATTCAAAGTGACACTTTAAAGCACGTGCAATTTCTTGAACTATGGCAAAATTAAGCTGACGTTTTCTCTATTCCTAAGAGGTAGTTTTAAGACAATATTACCGAGTAGTTTAAGAAAATAAGTCTTTAGTCGTTGGTGTTTTTTAGTCTTTGCTGACGTAGTTTCCTTTCACCAGATTCCCCTCTAGGGCATCACAGCACGCTCCCCGCCTGGACGCGGTCTACAGAGCTCTTTGATTTCCGACTCTTTGTCTATATTAGCCAACCCTTTGCGAAAAGCGTCGGCGTTCTGTTAGGATACCAGAAGAGATTTCAAATCACAAACCATAAGGTGGAAAGCCAATGTTTTCAAAAACTCTTCGACTTTCCTTCGATCAACATCGCTATTCCTAAGAGGTAATTTTAAGACAATATTACCGTTCAGTTTAATGAAGAAAATAAGTCTTTAGCCGTTGGGCTTTTTAGACTTTGCTGACGTAGTTCCCTTTCACCAGATTTCCCTCCAGGGCATCATAACACGCTCTCCGCCAGAACGTGGTCTAAAGAGCCTTTTGATTTCCGACTCTTTGTCTATTTTGGCCAACCCTTCGCGAAAAGCGTCGGCGTTCTGTAAGAATAATACCACAAGAGATTTCAGATCACAAACCATAGAGAACTACTTTTTTCAAAAACTGTTCCACTTTCCTTCGAACAACATCCAAAGTGATTAACCTGGACATGCATGAAGTTAATGAAAATCCATGCAAAGACCAAATACGTGCAGTCGCCAGTTAATTTGTTTGTATTAACACAGCCACAATTTTCGTTCGTCCTGATGTGGTTAAGCTCTGATCTTAGCATGCGGATGTGGAAGAATGTAATATAAGCTTACCTTCGCCAATGCCCTTTGTAAGTGTTTATTTATTTGCTAATTTAAGAGTTTNCAAACTTAATTACCTTCTAAGAAGTACTTCTTCAGCCACTCTATCGGAGTTCGTTTTGTCTTCTTCACTTTTGCATTCACGCCAGGGTTGCTCTGAAACAAGCAAACAAATGAAAAAATCAGTGAGATCAACTTCCGTTTTCTCCTTCCATTATTCATACATAGTTAAGCAGCCGGGTGATGAGAATAGAGAAAATTATTAACTGCGAAACAATTGATTCATGCTTTAGCATATGCAGTTGAACCTCGCTATTTCGAACCCTCAAGGAGAACGAAAAATAGTTGGAGATTGAGAGGGATGGAAATAGCCGATGGTAAATAACTAAGGAGCAAATCGTAGGGAAACAGTTTTGAATTCAATATTATGGGGAATTCGAATTAACCGAGTTCGAATTAGCGGTGTCCAACTTATCATCTCTTTATGGTGCTCGCGGGAAGTTTGGAGAGAACAAAAGAAGCGTAAGACTTGTTCGAGGGAGAGTCGAGAAATCCCGCGAGCTTCTGAAAGCAGGGAATGTTTCGCCCGCTCGCTGACCCAGAAAAGAAAGCTTCCGCACGAATGAGGCTTTGGAAAAGAGACAGAGGGCTCTCTTATACGTCTATTTGAATCCACGAGGCACAGGTTTTTTTGAACAGCACAACAGTTGTTAATTTTTATCATTTTTTATTCTAATGTTTAAAGATTTTTTTTTTGAAATTTGCGCTTCTTTGTTATTATCTTTCCAGAGCATCTCTAAGCTATTTCTAGCTTTTTGTGTGCTCTTCAAACCTCATAAGTACTAGTGCAACATAAGTGATACATGCACAGCTAAAAGCAAGAATCAATTGCTTCATGGCATTGTCCGTGGCAATAGAGGGGCAAAGGGGACTACACCCGGGAGAAACAAAATTCTGTGGCAGAGTGAATCGCGCAGTTACGTAATGTTTGATAGCCCGGCTTGGCTAGCTTTGTTATCTTGGATACTGGCCTAATTTTTCACAAAATTTTCAGACTCGCCATTAAAAAATGTATAGCAGCTACTTCTAAGAATAATATTTTCAGGCTATGGACAGAAAACTTTAACTGTTCTGAATTTTTTGTTTCTTAACTAGTTTTGTGTTATCGTGTTTTCTGTTTCATGTGTTAAACCAATTTACTACAACCAGTTGGTCTGCGTTCCAAATTTACGATTAATTGAATATATTTGATTAATGGCATTCTTTATAGCCGTTGCACGCGATGACTGCCCATTACTTTGCCACGGTATTTGAAGAAAACAAAAGTGTGATATTGCATGTTCGATCCTACATTTAGTTAATGCTGACCGCATCATCACTTGGCAAAGCATTATGAATCAGCATTCTCCGTATGCTAAAAATACGACTTCATATATTTACGTACTGTAACCGACACAGTGAAAAACAAATGTTAAGAACATTTTGGTTGTGCGACGAAAATATTTCAGCCGTTAGAAAGTTCTCAGTGATTGCTAGTCAAACTTAAGATTAATGGTCCTCTTTATAGTCCAATGCCCGCAAAATGGTCGTTTTTACTACTTCATGAATAACTACTCAGTGGGGAACCGTTATAAGTACTTGCTAAGGGTTTCTTATCGATTTAAGAATGTAAATCTTTGATACGACTTAATGAACTTATCAGAGGCAGCTAGGCCAAAGCTAGCGAGCCATGATTTCAACTAAAATAAACACAACCGGCTGTCATGACCATAGTCACAATAAGAAACTACTAGAGCCATTTTCGCACATATGACTGAGTAGCAACCCTTATATCAAGCAGGGTGATGTGCTAATTAAACTGAATGATGCAGACGAAGCATTTCTCTCTGAGTCGGCTATTTGTTTCTGTTTGTGAAGTAGCTCAGTGTAAAGAAAACGGTTCAGTTATTTAGACTGAGGTTTTCTTGCTGTATTCTTTGATTCAAAGCACCGGTTGAAATTTGACGGAAGAATTACTAAAATGTTTAGTCACATATAATTCATGGAGGTAATAAAAAACTTTTCAGTTTTTGCTGCTTTTCTTATATTTTCCCTACACATCAGTCAATTTATGACATAGATGTTATATTCAGGAGAACTGGTCTTATCTTTACCTTTTTTGTCATAAAATACCGTTTCCCGGCTGTCCAACAGTCGAGGGCTTTTCAGTCGCATTGTACGATATTCACTAGAGCTTGTAAAAGAGCCCAATATTTTTAAATGACACTGCGGGAATAATATTAATGGCAAGAATGATAAAAGAGCAGACTTGATATTGACTTTCAACGAAAATGGGGCAATTATATAAAAATTATTTTACGATTGTGCGTCATGTCAGTTGATTACGTCAGCTGACTCAAGTACTTTTAATATTATGCAAACATCTTTCCTTTCGCAAAAAACGCGTTTTTAAAAACTGGAAGTTACTGCGGATTTTCTATTTCCTTTTATCTTCCGTTTACAGTTTATTAACATTCTTTCGCTATAAAATTCGTGTTCAAATTTTACGCCAATGGGGTATTTGAATCGAATCTATCCAGTTTCGTACAGAACTGCTATCATAGACGTATTTCAAGTAGTTAAGGCTTCAGTATTAACCGCAAGAACAATATGTGATAGCATGTTAACGGCCGGGTCTGAGTTTTATGCCAATAGATGAAAAAGTAAAAGTTCAAAGTTAAAACAACTAACATGGGTTCCTAATTTCAAAGCACACTAAAACGAGAGGAAAAACGCCCTTGTTGAAACAGAAATGGCCACACCGTATTGGGTGTTCTTGAGGCAGATGCCGTGGTATATGAGTCGCTTTCTGAATTGGCAAAGAAAACCGGAAAAATCATAATATAGCGAAAGTTTGTTTTTATTTTAAGATACAATGGAATCTTTCAATACCAGTTTGCGTTGTCAAGCAAACAGGTTTCTTCATGCAAAAAGAAACCCCGGAAGGGTTAACATCTCAGGATCAAAAAAAGTAAAAGGCGAAAAGCAATAAGATAGTGTCAAGAAAACTAAAGTAACTTTAAAAAGTAAAGTAATTTGAATATAAATTTGGCAATTGGATTGAAATCGTAAGTTTCGAAATAGCTCGGATACTTAACGGTACGACAGCAATATTGGGNAATATAGCGAAAGTTTGTTTTTATTTTAAGATACAATGGAATCTTTCAATACCAGTTTGCGTTGCCAAGCAAACAGGTTTCTTCATGCAAAAAGACTGAAACCCCAGAAGGGTTAACATTTCAGGATTAAAAAAAGTAAAAGGCGAAAAGCAATAAGATAGTGTAAAGAAAACTAAAGTAACTTTAAAAAGTAAAGTAATTTGAATATAAATTTGGCAATTGGATTGAAATCGTAAGTTTCGTAATAGCTCGGATACTTAACGGTACGACAGCAATATTGGGGAAAAATAACATATAATGCAAAATGAATTCTTTTCGTGAACAGATATTAAGTCTAGGGTTCCGAATTAAAAGCAAGTGCCGAGAATACAGAAATACCGAGTCAAAAGAAAAAAATGTTAATGAAAAATGAAAGCATGAAGGGTTGAGAGGAGGGTTATGCTCATTCTATGGAATATTTTATAATGTCGTTTCTATCAAATCTAACAGTAAAATTCTGACAAAAATATTTGTTTTCAAGAACACTGAATAAACTGAAAATTTAGACTGAAATAATAGCTTACTTGTTGTCGAGGAGTTTCATTTTCAATGCTAAATGAATTCCAGTGTACATGGCCAAGGGTTGGTGAATGCGGTGCAGGTCTTTGGCTGTAGTTTCCTTCTCCTGGAAAATCAATAGCGACCTCTCCATTCCCAACAGTGCCGCGTCTATGTTCCATGACAGCTGTCTTCAGGCTTCAGAGTAAAAGCTATTAAAGATTCCAGGAAAGATTGAAGAACATGGAATTACATCTCAAGTCCAACACGGACAATACTGAATTGGCGAAGGCGTTTGAAACAGGAAAGGCCGCAATCGGACAGGACAAATATTATCTTTAAATAACTAACAAATAAAACCGTTTTATCTTGACAGCAAACATGTCAATTTATATAAAAGTATCACAAATGCCAATACAAATATCAAGTTGTGCTCCCGTAAATTCACTTGTTTGTCATACATACCTTAAGATCAGACCTATTAGCAACGCAGCAACTAAGGTATGAACTGTCTTGGTGATGTGTTGTATGATTTAACGTTTTTTGGCAAATAAAAGAATAAATTGTCGTGTTTCTATTTGCGGACCTATTTGACATATTAATGATCAGCAAATGACAGAATTGGGCTGTATTGACTGATGTAATCACGCATTACCATTGGTTAATCCTTTATCTACTGACATCTCAAAATTTTTTTTATTGTAATAAATCAATATTGCCTTGCGTGTACTGAGACCTTTGACCAAAATATGAACGGAGGATATTGTGTTATGTATTTTAATGATATTAAGTGAGACGCGAAATAATCAGAGTTTTACAAATCACGGACATTGCCAAATTTTGTTTTTGTTTTGTTTCGAATTTAATTTGTTGATTCACGTTCAATGTAACTGTCCTGAAAAGGCCAAACATTTTTTTTTTTGTTAAATGTATATGCCACACGGAGCAAACAATACGGTTTCAGCATTAGGGACACCCAGCCGGGGGAAGCTGGAGGTCAAACGTTTCAAAAGTTACATAACCACAAATTGCTTGGAATTACGTCTCCGTAAACAGTCAGTTATTTGCGATGACATCATACCGGGCTGTAACTGCTCCTACTTCACTTTCCTTCTATTATGGTACCAGTAATTACTTTTATTCTTGATCTTTGCCTGCGAGCAGCCGACAAACAAAATAACAGACATCTACACACAGGCAATGCTAAATTGGAAAATAAAAGTATTATTAGCATGATAATAAAGGGGAAGTCGATAAGCAGTAGTTATAGCCGGATATAACGTTATCGTGCAAATAACGTCTCGTTTGCGCGTGGAATAAAGGAGACAGTAGACGTTTCCCCGCAGGCTAAGTGAACTCTTCCCTGATCGTGAAATTGAGAATTTGCATGAGTTTTGACACGAAACACTAAAAATTGAAGATTGTGGTGGTTGCTGTCGACATCCTGTTCAAGCGATGGACTCATTTATTTCAATTCTGATTTTTTGCGTTAATGGGTGGTCTACACTAGCGCATAATTTAGCACAAGCATCGGTAACATATGCGGACGGGTTACATGCAGACACTTTATTTAAGTTCGTTACAGTATAGCACATACATGCTAATTTCTCCGAAGGCTTTCTGAACTCAGATAACTACAATAAAGTAATATGTTGATAATTCTGAAGACTATCTAACTAAGATACACAAATGCACAGGTATTTAACTAGCAAAAAATACAACAAGAGATGCTAAAAGACAGACTACTAAGTGAAGCTTGAAATTGTTAAAAAATGGAAGTGGATCTGCTCCTTTCTGGTAAATCGTTCCACTTTTTGGGCACAACGTATCTAAAAGGATGCAATTCATATGATGTGGTCTTGACCCTGGGTATGTTTCACTTATTTGTTCCACTAAGTCCTGAGTTGACTGATTTTGCATAAAGATTCCAATAACTAGCACCTCTTGTTAGAAAAATGTTCTAACAAAGGCGCTGCTTAATAGCGCGCCCATTACGGCGCCTGCGCATTATAATTTAATATATTGAATTCAAAGTGACACTTTAAAGCACGTGCAATTTCTTGAACTATGGCAAAATTAAGCTGACGTTTTCTCTATTCCTAAGAGGTAGTTTTAAGACAATATTACCGAGTAGTTTAAGAAAATAAGTCTTTAGTCGTTGGTGTTTTTTAGTCTTTGCTGACGTAGTTTCCTTTCACCAGATTCCCCTCTAGGGCATCACAGCACGCTCCCCGCCTGGACGCGGTCTACAGAGCTCTTTGATTTCCGACTCTTTGTCTATATTAGCCAACCCTTTGCGAAAAGCGTCGGCGTTCTGTTAGGATACCAGAAGAGATTTCAAATCACAAACCATAAGGTGGAAAGCCAATGTTTTCAAAAACTCTTCGACTTTCCTTCGATCAACATCGCTATTCCTAAGAGGTAATTTTAAGACAATATTACCGTTCAGTTTAATGAAGAAAATAAGTCTTTAGCCGTTGGGCTTTTTAGACTTTGCTGACGTAGTTCCCTTTCACCAGATTTCCCTCCAGGGCATCATAACACGCTCTCCGCCAGAACGTGGTCTAAAGAGCCTTTTGATTTCCGACTCTTTGTCTATTTTGGCCAACCCTTCGCGAAAAGCGTCGGCGTTCTGTAAGAATAATACCACAAGAGATTTCAGATCACAAACCATAGAGAACTACTTTTTTCAAAAACTGTTCCACTTTCCTTCGAACAACATCCAAAGTGATTAACCTGGACATGCATGAAGTTAATGAAAATCCATGCAAAGACCAAATACGTGCAGTCGCCAGTTAATTTGTTTGTATTAACACAGCCACAATTTTCGTTCGTCCTGATGTGGTTAAGCTCTGATCTTAGCATGCGGATGTGGAAGAATGTAATATAAGCTTACCTTCGCCAATGCCCTTTGTAAGTGTTTATTTATTTGCTAATTTAAGAGTTTTCACTTCTCGTGACGTTACCTTATAATATGTTTTGGTTTGATGGTTAGCTTCGTCATCATGACGTTAGTAAGAGGAAATAAACACCGTTGTCGTGGTGTTTGAGGTTTACAAGCAACGATTAATTAAATTATAAACTGGCTGATCTCGCCTCGATACAGAAGGAAACTGGGCCAGCAAGTTTAATTAAGACATCTTTCCCAAGGGGGAGGGGGGGGGGGG